TACCTGTCACTGCACTGGACCCTTTAGCTATGATTTCATTTAATCCTTACAGCGGCCCAGTGAAGTAAGGGCTGTGCTGCCCATTTTATAGAGAAGGACACTGAAGTTCAGTGAGCTTAACTAGCTTGTCCAGGTCTACACCTGTGATAAATGATGAGCAAGAATTCAAATCCTTCATCACAAGAAAAAAAAATTCTATACGTGTGGTGGTGGATTTTTTTTTTTTTTTTTTTAAGATTTTTAAATTTAGGGCAGCCCAGGTGGCTCATAGGTTTAGCACCGCCTTTGGCCCGGGGCCTGATCCTGGAGACTGGGAATTGAGTCCCACATCAGGCTCCCCGCGTGGAGCCTGCTTCTCCTTCTGCCTGTGTTTCTGCCTCTCTCTCTCTCTCTCTCTCTCTCTCTCTCTCTGTGTGTGTGTGTGTGTGTGTGTGTCAGGAATAAATAAATAAAATCTTAAAAAAAAAAAGGTTTTCAAATTTATGTATGAGAGAGAGTGGGGGAGGGGGAAAGGAGAGGGAAAGGGACAAACAGAGTCTGTGTGCTGAGCATAGAACCTGACTCCAGCCTCGATCTCATGACCTTGCGATTATGACCTGAGCTGAGACCAAGAGTCGGATGCTTAGCCAACGGAGTCACCCAGGTACTCCTTAACTAGACTTATTGTGATCATCTCACAATATACACAAATATCAAATCACTAAGTTGTATGCATGAAACTAATACAATGTTGTATGTCAGTTACACCTCAGTAAAAACGAATCAAATCCTGAATTACTTGTGCTCTAAACTTCTACTGCTCCCCCAATACGTAATACTTTAGCACTTGGAAGACTTCATATGTAATTGGGACTGAACCTATGAACGGTTTTTTTTTTTTAAGATTTTATTTGTTTGAGGGGATAGGGGCAGAAGGACAAGTAGACTCCTCACCAAGCAGGGAGCCTGGAGCTGAGCTCTTTTGATCTCAGGGTCCTGATATCAAGACCTGAGGCCAAAGTCAGATGCTTAACCAACTGAACCACGTAGGCATCCCTATAAAGTTTTTAAATGATCATATCCTTTAAAATGTGACCCAGTTATTTTAACCTTAGCATTCTATCCTATGGAAAGTACCTTGGAATATAAACAGAGATTGATTCACAAGCATGTTAATCACAGCATCAATTACCATACGGCAAATTAGAAGTGGCTGGGGTACCCCCATCCCAGAAACCTTCCTAATGCTTCCTCTGTGCTCCCATAGTACCCTGTACCAGTCTCTTGCTCCCCAGTGTCCTCCGCTGGACCATGAGCTTCTTTAAAGCTGAGTTCTTCTCATATATCTTTGATTTAGAGTGAGCACTAGAATACGTGAGGACTGAATTAGTAAATGACCATGGATTTGCTTACTTAATACCCACAGAAACTGTTCAAGTTGTTTGGAGGTCACAAGAGTAGGACTAGAACCCAAGGTCACACGCAGGGCCCTTCTCCCTCCACCTTAGACTTTAAACTTTTTCTAAAATAACAAGTAACATAAAAATGGCTGGAGTTTGGGGGCGCCTGGGTGGCTCAGTCAGTTAATTGGCCGACTCTTGGTTTTGGCTCAGGTCATGATTTCAGGGTGGTACCCACATCAGGCTCTGCGCTGGATGTGAAGCCTGCTTAAGATTCTCTCTCCCTCTACCCCCACGTGTGCTCACTCGCTCTCTTAAAAAAAAAAAAAAATAGCTGGAGTTTGAATGCTCGAAGCAGGTTGAGATAGAAGGAGGATGTTGGAGGCTCCTCCCTCCACAGGCCCTCACTGAAATATCACTGAAACGATCAGAGCCCTTGGGCCACGTGACCTCAGATGTGCTGAGCAGCAGATACGGGTGATGAATGAAAGATGTAGTTTTGATGCTGATGTCAACCATGACATGTGTATCTGAGAAGGTTAAGCAAGAAAGACAAGTGATAATGCGCATACAGCATGTTCTCAACCATTTAGAGAAAACAAATCCATTAGGAAAAAAAAATAAAGGAACAGAGGGAAAATTGCCAAATGTTAACAGTGGTTACCTTTGAATAATGGAATCTTTTTCTGTTTCTCTATACTTTTTTGTACTTTCCAAATTGTCCTCCATGGGCATACCTGAGTTTCATAATCAGAACAATAAATAAAATTTAAGTCACCAAATGGATTCTGAAGGCTACCCTGAACCCTACCCATTACCGTAGTAATGACTTTGAAACTGAATCGCTTACTGTGTTACTGTTACAGCTAAGATTAGAAAGAATCCATCAATTGGAACCAGAACGACATCATGTAGTTTCAGTATACATGCATACAAGCGAGAAAAAGGTGTTTTTCCCCAACTCGGTTTTTACTGAACAAATCACTGATACCAGGTCTAAGCAAATTCTCAGTATTATAATGTTCCAGAAGATTACTATAAATGTCACTAATGAACTATTCTTGTCATTTTTTAATGAAACCACATCCTCACACTGGTAGAGAGTTACATTCTCTTTGAAGCCTTCTCTCTTCTATTGGGTCATTTACCACGTGCTCTTGGTTTGACTCATGAAGAAAAGGGCAACCCCTCCCCACCCCCACAGGTCAATATTGAGATAAATTAGATCTATTTTCTGTGGGTTTCTGAGGATAATTTCTAAAAGGGAGATCCAAATGTGTTCTGAGCAAGAGTGACAGGGCACAGAATGGATCTGACTCTTTGTAACTCCGGGTCAGCAAAGGACCCCACCCCTAGCCTGCCTGCTTACCAGTAAATACGAAATGGATGAATGGAATCACTTCAGATTGTACAACCTGGGCATGAACATTATAGTTTCCCTTTTTGTTTGTTTTTTTACTAGGTTTATTTACCTTAGAATCACATATACCTCACAACCACTCATGGCCCCTTTACAATTTGGCAGACATTCACACCTCTTTGCTAACTAGGTAGGGCCTCCTATCTTAAGCAGGGTCTCCTATTTTACCCTGTGGGGTTACTCTCCCACCAACATTCTCTACCACCTACAAAGCCGGTGAGTACACAAGCCTGCCAAGAGGTCTGAGCGGTCAGAGCATGCGTCACATGACTTGATACCCAAAACAAGTCCAGGAGACACAGACCCAATCTTCCCTCTCACATTATCCAATCATATCCTCACAGAACACAGGAGAGAAGGGTTGACTCAAACCCGCTCCTCTGATTCTAAGGCGTAAGCATCTTCCATCCCACTAGCACAGTCTGCGCAGAGACTGGGCAGGAAGGACGATCAGTGCACTTCCTAAGGAAGGAAACTGCAGCCGCTAAGTGGGGTCTCTGGCTTCTGGCTTCTTGTTGCCTTTTGCTTTAGGATTATGCTCAAGGCAGCTCCCTGCTGGGCAAGCAAGCAATAGACAGGGAAACACGGAGGAGGCCAGGACCAGGGTAAAGTAAATGCTAACTATGATGATAACCATAATCTTCTTTACCATAGCTACCACGGGGATCCAGGGCTTTGTTTAATAACCAATACCTATTTAAATCCTTAAGGAACTCATTCTCTGACTTAGAGGGTGTTGTTATAACAACCATCATAACTTTGACTTTACTCTGGGGTGCCAACAACTCATTTGATGCAACGGTTTTCCATTTACACAAAAAGAAACACTAAAAGCAGCAGACACCTGGCTGCATGTCCTGGGGCAAGTGATTTCTCCTCTTTGGGGCTCACTTTTCCCATCTGGAAAAGAAAAGGGTCTGGCCAAATGATTTCTGAAGTTCCTTATAAGGCGAGCATCCTGATAAGAAAACTATACTCCCAGGCCCTGTGGAATGACCACAAACATGAAACCCTCTAGAACCCCTAAAATAAGAAACAAGTGTAACCAAGAGATAACAGGGACAGGACATGAGCTCTGGGGAAACCTGGACTCGAAGCGTTTTTTTGGTTTGGGTTTTTTTTTTTCTTTTTTTTTCTTTTTCTTTTCTTTTTTTTTTTTTTTTTTTTTTTTTTTGGTTTTCCAACTTTCCCACTGCCAAATATAAAAATAGGCAGCTAACTTCCACAGAACTCTCAAAAAGAATTTGATTAAATAAAATCAATGAAAACAATGCTTTGTTCTCCCACAAGTGGCTCAGGAGTAGCCCACTTAAGAGACACTTTCTTGCCTGCGGGGCTGATGTCAACAGCCCCATGCTTAGGCCCAAACAAAGACCTCCTGGCACAGGGATGAGAGGCGAAAACATCTAAGTCTCCACAGTTGGCCGCATTCCAATCTGAGGGCAAAGGGGCAGCGGGTACAGAAAAATAACTAACCTTATGAAAGGCTAGGAGGAGAGTCAAGAATTACTAAATCTATTTTTTCTCAAATGAATAAAGCACTCTTGAAAGGGATAATGGAAGGGTGCAGCTTTCAATCTGAATTACTTTCGTTGTTTAACTCTGTTCTGCCTATGGCCACTGACTTTTGACCACAGAATCCGGGTTTTGCCTTCCGTGGCTGGCAAGGCTGGGAGAGGCAGTATGGGAGTTGGGAGACCCATACTCATACCCTCTTTCCGATTTCACTTGTCTTAAACTCAGACAAGCGGCTGCACCTTCCAGGTCTCCATTTCCTGCTTGTAAAACAAGAGGGTTCACCAGATGCCCCTCTAGATCCGCAGGAACAGTGGGTTAGGGCTGACGGCCCTCTGGTTCTCCCCAGGGCCGGGCTGAACCCCCACCGGTACCGGCAGCCCCACTGCTCGGCGAGCACCGAGCACGGAGCGCCGTCTGGCAGGGGTGCCCCCACTCCCGCACACCCACCACCCACTCCCACAACCCGAGGGGCTCACCTCTGCACCCACATCCTCACCTAAGAGGCCAATTCGCCCTCCCTGCCACGTCCCCACTGCCAGAACAGGTCTGATGAACTAAACCTGCCAAGCTGAGCAGAGCATGTGTGTAAGCAAAGAAAAAGCCAAACCAACAAGAGCCCTCTCTTATCAGGACCTCAGAATTTCGCTCAAACTGATAGAACTGAAAGATACGAGCGTCCCTACCCAGCATAGGAGGCCTCGGCGAGCCTCGCTGGTAAAAACACCTAAGAAGCCCCAAGCCTAAAGGGGCCGAGGACTCCCGGGCTGGCTCTTCGCAAGGAAGGGACCAACGAGGCGCAGCGCAAGCAGAAGGCCGAGGAGACCGAGCCCGCGCCGCCGCTGCCTCCCGGGGCGCTCTCTCCGCAGGCCGGGAGGCTCGCGGTCTCCCACCGGGGCCGTCGCCCGAGGGCAGGGCCAAGGGGGCGCTGGGCTCCGTCCTGCCTCGGGGCGGGGCCCGCGGACCCTTGATTCGACCCTGGTCTCCGACGTGCGGTGGGGGCGACGGGCTGTCCTGGTCACATCAGGGGACGCATCGCGGCCGGGGCAGGTCTCGGCCTGGGTGAGCCTTCCGTGAATGCTTTCGCGTTTCGTTTCCCCTTTCTTTAGCGGGGCGGTGCGGCCGGAGGGCCGAGGGGTACCTCCCCCGAGTCTCCGCGGTCCTCCGGCAAGCGCCGCCCCCAGAGCCGCTCGCTGGCCCGGGCTCCGCAGGGAGGCCCTCCAGGGCCCGCGGGGCGCGGGGGTCCCCGGCCTGGGCGCACGTGCGTGTTGCGGCGCCTGAGCCCCCACCCCCGCCGCAGGCCTCAGTTTCCCGGTCTGTGAGGCCAGAGCCAGAAGCCGCGGGGGGCGGAGTCTGCGAGGCGTCCCACACCTGACCCGGGGCGCGGTGGAGAAGCGGGGCTCCCGGGGGCCGAGCGCACGTGGGTTTGTTGTGGGTCCGCAGGCTCGCGGAGCCCGGGGGAAGCAGGGCGGTCCCCGGCCGGGACACACGCGCGCGCACGCACACCCCGGCCCGCCAGCGAGACCGCTCAGGCGGCGCTGGGCACCGGCTCCGAGCGCCCGCGCCCCGCGCCCCGCCACCCCGCGCCTCCCCGCGCCCCGGGCTCCGCTCCCCTCCCGCCTCCCCTCCCGCGCCCCGGGCTCCGCTCCCCTCCCGCGCCCCGCCGCCCCGCCGCCCCGCTCCCCTCCGGCCTCCCCTCCCGCGCCCCGCTCCGCTCCCCTCCCGCGCCCCGCGCCCCGCCGCCCGCCCCCGCCGGCCCCGGCCCCGCGGCCGCCCTGCGCACCGCGACTCACCCGCTGCGGCCGCTCCGCCCGCTCCGCGCCCTCGCCGGCCGGCGGCCGCTCCTTTTGTTAGCGCCGGGCAGTGCCCCAGGCGTCCTCGCCAGCCCGGCCCGGCCCCGCGCTCCCCTCCCCCAGGTGCCGCCGACTCCGCGCCCCGCGGCCGCAGGGGAGCCCGGCAGCTGCGAGCCGGGCGCCGGGTCCGGCAGGAGGGGCTGCTGGGACGGGGGGGCCCGGGGCTGAGGGTGGAGGGGCCCGCGAGGGAGGGGGAAGAGCGCGGCGGAGGGGCGGGGGAAGCGGCGGGCTCCGTTATGCAAATAGTCGGGCGGACGGGGTGGGTCCCCGGTCACACGGCGCCCCAAGCCCCCTGGCGTGGCCCTGGGGGGGGGGGACGGCTAGGAAGCGGGCCTCGGGGCTAGGGTGCCGGGTGAGCGCAGCGCGTGAGGCCGGGACCCTGCCTCGGGCTGGGGAGGTCGCCGCAGGGACGGGGGAGGGGCGAGGCCTGCGCGGGGATCCCCGGGGCTCGCTCCCCTCCGCACCCCGCAGGTCCCCGACGGGTTTGTCCTAACCAGCGGGAACTATAAATCCTGGCTCTGCCACCGACCGACTGCGTGACCCTGAGCAAGTCCCTTAGCCTCTCGGAACTATTGTCACGTAGAATATGAAGCCACGAGATCCCTTTCACGGGGTTTGACAAGCACCTGTCAACATCGGGCGCGGCGCGTCCTGGGTGCTGTCGAACGCCGCAGACACAGAAGGGGAACGTGGGCCGGGAGCTGCCTGCGGGCTGGGGCGCGAGGCCTGAGGTCGGCGGGGGGCGGGGGGGTGTGAAGGCCGCGGGCTGCTTTCCTTTCTGGGAGGCTGATCTGGGGCTGCGCGGGGAAGGCCAGAGGAAACCGCAGGTTGAGCAAGCGTCGCCGCTCTGTACATACTACCCATCCCTGCCGCCTCTCCAGTCCCCTAGAAAGAAAGATGTGACTACCAACAGCAGTCATCATCACCCAAGTGGATTCTGGGCACCCACTTGGCACCAGGCTCTGTGCTGGAGGGAAGGGAGGAGTGGAAGGTAGGCTGGGTCCCCTGGGGACACGATGTTGGGGCGACACTACCCGTGGGTGAAGCCCAGACACAGAACTCCCTCTCTCTCCAGATCGAGGTGACCACTCCCCACCACCAACTTGAGAAAGGGGAGCTCACATCCTCATCTCAACCCCATCACCCTTCTTCCAAATCTTGCTTCCCCCTTTCCCAGATCCCTGCCCCCTCTGGGCTGCTGAGGAGGTTACTGCTCAGTACGGAGCTCCAGGTGGAGGAGGTGTCAAGCAGGGTGAATTCAAATCTCTATGACCCACTCGCTGTGTATTGGTTGGAGTTCCTCAACCTCTGAATCCCTTTGAACCCCTTTCCTCTTCTGTGTCGTGGAGATACTAATGACAGTGTTGTTCTCACGATTATGTGAAACCATCTCTAGGAAGCATTTAGCCTAGTATCTGGCATATAGAAGGTTCTCATAACAGTATAATGTATGAGTGAATAAGTGCAAATAGGCAAGCTCAGAAGACTGTTTCTGGGAGGATGCCGTATTGAAGATTTCAGACTTTATTCTCAGAAAATTGGAAACTCTTACAAAGATTTTATGCAGGGGCATGGCATGCATCCTTGTGTTTTATGCTGATTTTTCTGACAGCTTACTGGAAAATGGATGGCAGGAGCAGAGACTGCGAGCTCGGAGCACAGGGACCAGCTTGCAAGCTGCCATCAGGGGAGACATAATAGGAGCTGAGGCAATGACAGCAGGAATGAACAAAAGACATGCAAATAATACCCGCCATTTGGGGACTAAAAGCACTTTGCCTTATTATGTCGTCTCTCCTTGTTGTAAGATATGCTATGGTGTTCGCCCCATTGTATGCATGAGAAAATTGAAGTCCAAGGAAAATGGAAGAGCTAGAATTTGAATCCTCTTCCACATTAATGGAAAGCCTTAATCATTTCCTTCCTCCGTATCACTTTTGTGTCAACACGACTTAAGTACCAAGAACAACTGAGCCCTTCATAGTCTCAGTCAAAAGAATACGCGACTCTTGAGCTGGGAGCTGGCGAGTTTGAGCCCCCATGAGTATAGACTATAGAGATTACTAAAAATAAATAAATAAACTTAAAAAAAAAAGAAACGAAGAACAAGAAACAGGGGAGAGGCTTTTTTCTAGAAGGTTCTCCAGGGCCCACCCCCACAGTACTCTTGACAAGGAGAATTACAGCCAAATGATGGAAGAAGCTCACTCTGGATTCTTACAGAATCCTGGTGACCAGAAAGGACATGAAAAGCCCAAGAAGTTTCTGGGGCTATGAGGTAGACGGGCAGGCAGGTGGGGAGGTAGCTCTGGGAGATGTCCAGGGTGGGAGCATCTGTGGAGCCATTCCCCTTGGGGGCCACTCCCTCCAGGTTGCAGCTGGGGCCTTCCAACTTGTCAGCGAGAGGCAGGAGGCACGTGGTCCTGTCTGGAAGGCTTCCCCAGGTATTGTCTCTGGGGCTCCTACCTTGACAGACTATTTTTCTTTAAAGTACAGGAATCTAACTTCCCTCTGGACACTATCTCCAGCTCCCTCGCCACCCCCCACCCCATGAACTCAGTCTCTGCTCATGAATAATACTTTAGGTAATGCCTTTCTTGGTCACTGTTTTAGGCAGATGACCAGCTAAAACAACGCGCTACTTTATAACCTTCATTTGCAACAATCCACTCACAGACAGTATTTTCATAGCACTCTTGAATTGGAGGTGGTGCTATTACGCAGTCTTGTGGAGACAAAAGAAAGCACAGGAAGTTGAAAATATCCTCCCAAACCCTTCTTCCTCATCCCACTCTAGATGCTCACATAGAACCTTCGACGGCCCCCACGGTTCTTTTCTGCACACCTTCAGCACCCATTGTCCAAGATAAGGGTGGGCTCAGGGTGACAGGAACTGCCCTGTGGTCTGTCTGCACCCCCTACCCTGGGTCTCAGTGCCCTCAGCTTCAAGGATAAAGATACCAAACGCAAGCCAAGTCTATGGAACTCAAGTCAGAAAACAGAAATAGAGCAGCACCACCTCTAAAAGAACCACACTAGGGGGCAGAGGCTGGACACTAGAGAGAGGCTTCCTGGGAGGACCACAGCCACAAGGTGGCAGGGAAATGGCTGCCCCAACTGCTCCTGGTACAAGCAGCAGTGGCCTTGTGGCCTCAAGACCTCAGAGTATGATCCGGGCATAGTGTGAGCAGGCATGGTCAGAGAAATGGACGTATGTGTGGGCACAGGTGTCGTTGGACTGCACTTCACCCAAACAACTTCACTGTCCAGCCCTGTCCTAGGAGATATGAGGAGAAACCAAGTCTCAATTCACAAATCATTTCTGTTTTGGTAAAATATCTTTTGGCTCATAAATAGTAGTAATTGCCATGTACTGAACATCTACTATGTGCAAGACAATCTATGTGCGTGTTCTCATTTAATCCTCACTTGGGGAAGGGGGTATCATTCTAGAACCCTGGTGCACCTAAGTCCTCTTATGCTACTCCTCTTGTTCTTGCCTCAAGGCCAATCTTAGCATGAAATTAATGTACGGGAGGCAAGGGGATGGCTACAAATCTCACTGCAAGAACATTAAAAAGTGAGAGAGGTCTTTCCTGTAGGTTTCTTAAGGAGACAGCATGGTGTCACACCAAACGTCAGGACGCAAGGCTTCCTAGATATCTGCTTACAACGTCCCTTTCTCTGATGTTCTACTCCCAACATCACCTTCTCAGAGTTCTCCACCTGCCTCCTCAGCATCCCTCACCCTCCCGTTGTTTCTCCAGCTCTCAAGTCCTACCCTCTGGAGGTCTCCCTTAGTTTGAACCAGCCTCTCTCAGTGATTCCAAAAGGTATGAAAAAAAAAGAGTGGGAAGCTGCAAAACAATAAGACAATGCACATGAATATAGATCTTTACATTTACAAGTGGCTTGCGTTGGCATTACCCCACTCGAGGTCTTTTCGGACTCACAGCGGCCTGTGAGGTATGGGTATGGCTCCTTATCATCCCCACCCACAGATGACAAAACTGAGTCTCAAAGGTAAAGCAAGTTGCCTAACATCCATCACTGGGTATTGAGCCATGCCCTGAAACCAAGGCCTCCTTCATAACGTGTGGCTCAAGACTGCAAAAGCCTGAAGGAGCACATCAAGCTGTCAGTAATAGTTCACAGGCTGCTGGGAACTGCTGCCCTGGTGCTCCGGAGCAGGACTCAGAAGCTATGCCCAGGAGACCACATTCCCCAGCAATGCAAGGAAGTGCAGGGGCAAAGGGACTCAGAAACCAAAGATGCTTGTCATAAATTCTCTCAAAAAGATCTAGGAAATTGGCTTCTCTCGAGGGACTCCTATCAGAACCAAAGTGGAAGCTGCCTCCTGAGTATTTATTACTTGAGGATGACCTTCAGAACCACCCAC